ACCCACCATCTGCTTTCCTTTCATATATATATATATATATATATATATATATATACATACACATATACATATACACACACACACACACACACATACATATACACACACACACACACACACACATATACACACACACACACACACACACATATATACACACACACACACACACACGCACGCTACAGAGAGGGAAGAGTGTACACACAAGACAGTTGTCAGATAAGTTTATAAATCAAAGTATTTCCAAATAAAATGGTTTCAATTAGCCTTTGTTAGGATGCATATAATGCAGATTGCCTCCTACTGCTTTTAATAAGACACTCTCAAGGAAGCCAATTAACCAGAGCTGCTGGATTTAAATAATGTTTTCACCCCTCAGCTCAGATTGCAAAGGTTCCTGAGCTGGTGTGGAGATATTAAGGGGAGACATTGCTTCATAGGTTCTTTTAGTATAATTTACTGAGTAGTCTCACAGCCAGGAAGATTCTTCCCTTCATTCCATTGTGATTATCACTCATTTGTCTGCCCATCGTTTAACTGTCTCACTTCTATCTTTTACGCTAACTGCAGATGATCAGTCTTCTGAGAAAGGTAGGTACTCTGCCTATCCTGGTATGAACAAGCAATGCCTTTTCCCAAACAGACAGGAACTCCCAAAGCAAAGGGAAATGCTAAAGACAATTTGCTCCTACAGCCATTTTTTTGAATTAGAATTAACCTGAAGGTATCTACAAAAATACTGTTTCCAATTTACTCCAAATTTAGGATAAGTGCTTCTTGTTAGCTGCTGTGGGCCAAATCCTGTGTTAATTTACATGTTCTGCAGCTTGCTCAGGGCCATATGGTGAACAGGAATTATAAATCAATGCAGAACTTGCTATGTTTGGAGTTATACAAAAGGAAAAAAAAAAGTGTCCTTGACACCTTCTGGGATACCAGTATCAATCTTGTTTAATTTTCTTGGCTATTAATTTGGACTGCATTTTACTATGTTACTTTCATTCTAGTCAACTGGATTAAGTTCATGTTGTTTATAATAGCCATTGTATTACTTCCTTGTGTCTTTTTAACAGCAGGTGTTTTCTTAATTAACTGCTGTTCCTGCTGATAGTCTCGCACATTCAATGTGCTCCTTTAGAAAAGGATCTCTCAGGTGTTGAAATTTAATTCCACTGACTTTGTTCATGGTACAAATTGCCTTCTGTCATCAGATGGCCAGTGACTTAGCTTTTGGGGGAGAAAGTCTAGGAGGGAGGAAGAGAAGGAAACAGCTAGTTACAGTGAGGAGGCAAAAAAAGGTCCTTTAACAGTGCATCTTACACTTAAAGTTACTACAAATATTTTCTGTTTCAGTAGACATACAATTCACTGTTATGCACCTGCATTGAAAGAAAAGACTCCATTGATGTTACTGGACTGACATGCAAATATCAGGGACAGAAAAAAAAAAAGAAAAAAAAGCCCTTACTTTGGACTGGCATCTTCTGCTATTTAAGGACTCGATCATGTAAAACACTGTGTTTACTCACTTAAGTAAAGTTGGCATGTTGCCTTTAATGTGTGTAACGTTTTTTCAGGAGTGCCCTTAATGTATAAAAAGCTAAGCGGTTTTCTTTCAGTAAGTGAGCAAGTATGACAACTTTTTTTAGTATTACTATATATACACACACACACACACACACACACACACACACACCCCTATTACATTCTGCAGATTCTAGTGATTACATTTTTACTGTGCATGCTCTTGGTTTGTATATTTTATTGTATACGAATGACCCAGAGATCTGATAAAAAGCCAGTGTTATTCTTATGATATGCTTTTTATCCATCTTTGTAACAAGAGATTAGCACAGAAACAACATTAACATTAAATTTGTTGACTCTCAGTTTGAGTTCAGAGTAATGCTTGGTCTATAGTTCTCACTATTGCACTGAATGGTGCTGGAGTCCAACAAGAAGAAGTGTCCTGGATTATTAGATCCACTTGCAGTCCTATGTACCAGGGAAGTTAGAGAATGAATACCAGCCCTTCCTCTGAGTTGCTTTGTTTTTATGGGCATATAGTATTTATATTGCTTAAATGTTCACTAACAGCAACTCTGAGCAGGTGTGATGAAAAAAAAAATTCTGAGAGATGTATTCTGGGACATTAAATGGCAGTTTAATATAAACCATTAGCCATAGGCTAAACTAGTTGTGTCATTGATACTTATTTATATTGATAATACAGGATGCAAAGCCTTCCCCCCAAACCAGATAACATAGGTATTGTAACATCTTGCTTCCCTTTCTCTCATTTTTATTAACAGAAGATTGTGACTGTGAGGGATATTTCAATGGACAATATATAGGTGAGGAACCTAATTCCCAGTACTCTTTCCTGTAAAATATAGTGTGTATAATAATGTGCTTCTCTTTAAATCAATAGTTGCTTTTCAGCTGAATTTTTCATGTGAGTTGTTAACTCAAAAAGTGCATGCAAGGATACAACAGGCCACTGGCAAAGCCCAAGCTTGGCACCAATCCAGAAGATTCAAGAAGAATTCATCCCAAGACAGCTCCTTTGTTGTGGAGACTCAAATACCTCTTTCCTCTGCACAGTTTTCCACCTGATAAGCAAATGCAGATAGTTGTCATGATCTTCCCATGGAATAGATGTATTTATGCTACAGTAGGGGGTTAATTGTATCTCTTTATGGAGTTAAGAATTCTACTATTCCCAACCTTCCCCATCATTATAAACAAACTGGTGCATGTGGTGCGTAACAGCAAGCCAGTCTTCACCATACTAGTTCTTATTGAAAGACAAGCAGCTTGGACAGTTGGCTAGGAAGATACTTTGTTTAATGTTTGTTATATTTTGCTCTTTAGCTGGTTTGCGGAGGAGCTTTAGGTTAAGCCGAAAGGAGAAACACAACAATCAGAATCAAGCAAAGCAAGCAGACATATCTGAATTCCTAACATATGAAGAAGTCACTAAATATCAGCAGCAGCCGGGAGAAAAGCAGAGACTGGTAGTTTTGATTGGTATGTCACAAAACTGGTCCGACGTTTTCCAATCAACTTTTTTTTTTAAAAAGACATTTTAAAATGAAAAGCTGAAAAAATTCCCTTCCAGAAGCTATAAGGCAGCACTCTGGGTCTTGGCAAGGTCCTGTAGTTTTAGCCTGATTTCCTGCCAAGCAGACCTAGGCATGTTTACCTGTTAGAATAATTTATAAAAAACTGGATGTCAGAGAAAAGGAGGCTTAGTAAGATTTTCTGCAGTTCAGTAAGCCTAGCAACTTTGAGTCTAGGTATTTTTCCAGCGTGGCTTAGAGTCTGGGGGGTATCCAGAAAAACGAAAAGCTATGAACATAGAGTTTCTCTAAGAGTGACTGGATAAATATCTGGTCTCCTGCCATTTAAGACTCAAGCTGCTGCTAGTGATGCTCTTTAAGGTAGAATGGGGGTGGGGCATGAGTTCTTGCTGTTTTGTGTACAGATTTCTTTAAGCCCTCTCCTACAGCATGCATCCCATTTGTGAGATTGAATAAATTCCTTCATTCTGTTCGCAATATTTCTTTCAGCATCCAAAACACGTCAGTTTTCATTTCCTTATTGCTTAGGTTCTTTGGGAGCCAGACTAAATGAGCTCAAACAGAAAGTTGTGTCGGAGAATCCACAGGAGTATGGTGTTGCAGTTCCACGTAAGTAGCTGTTACAGGAATCTGTTTGTCCCCACCTTTGACTGTATACTGCATGCAGTAGTTTAGGGATTGATTGCACCACTGTCCAGTCTGTTCCTGTTCCACACTATTTACGTGCATTTTCAGAAGTAGCTCAAGTTCTTCCCAGGGGCGGCTCTATGTATTTTGCCGCCCCAAGCAGGGCAGTCAGGCTGCCTTGGGCGGCGCGCCTGCGGGAGGTCTGCTGGTAAAGTGGATTCGGCGGCATGCCTGTGGGAGGTCCACCGGTCCCGTGCCTTCGGCATACCCGCCGCCGAATTGCCGCCGAAGCCGTGGGACCAGCAGACCTCCCACAGGCATGCCGCCGAAGGCAGCCTGACTGCCGCCCTCATGGCGACCGGCAGGCCACCCCCCACAGCTTGCCACCCCAGGCATGCGCTTGGTGTGCTGGTGCCTGGAGCCACCCCTCGTTCTTCCCCCTTCTTTTGAGGGTCTGCATTTGTCTCTTATTGATTCAGCATATCACATCTCTCTGGTATGCACAGAATCTGGAATCTTGTCAGCTCCTTCAATTTTTTTTTAATGACACTTTCCCAAATGAACAGATTCATTTTTTAAAAATGGATATTGAGAAAAGCAGACTGACTACAGGGGGGAAAGTTAAACTGTAAACCTCTAAAATTAGAATTAAAATGAGACTTTTTTGTGATTCAGTGAAGAAAAATGTAGGCTTCTTTGTTCCTATTTAAAGATGATGGTGCTGGATTATCTACAGAGTTTTAATTAATCAATTTAATTAGAGAAAAATATTGATCTTAAGAAATAGCAATAAAGCGGGCAAACTCCTTAAAACGGAAGACTCATATTTTGAAGCCTTGATTAACATGTTAATTCTCTTCATACACACAGAACCACAGTGATATGCAAGATTGGAATTTAAAAACATATTCCAAACTGTGGTTGTGCTCTGCTGATGTATGAATTTATGGTCTATCAGTTATACAGAGATGATGGCTGATGGAATACAGATTGGAAGACAAATTGATCGGAATAACTCTAAATCAGTTTTTGGGGCACTCAGATAAGATACATCATGATATTATTGCAAAGTTCTAAACAAACTGCTAATTTCAAACATTTTACACACATCTGATTTAGATTGCTGGCTTTGACATGTTTCTCTTCCAATAGCCCTTTGTTAAAGATGTGCATCACACACTCATAATTTGTATTAATTTTAAAAATCTGAATGTGATTTACTTGTAACATCAGAAAGTTTTGTGATTACACCTTCATGGTCAGCTTGTATATTTGCAAAGGGTCACCGAAGTGTACTGTTAGAGTAGAGGGATGACTAATCTATTTCTTTTAATTTCCTTAAAAGAAATGACTGACAACTTCAAAGCTAAGGAAAGAAGAGCTATACTTATATAGATGGTATATATGGCATGAAAAAAAATCAGTGTTGCAGGAGGAGAGCAGGTAGATACTTTAGCATTAGTGAGGAATGAACAGTGCGGTAATGAGAAAGCAGAGAGAACAATTCCACAGGAGGAGGAAGAGGTAACAGACAAAATAACTGAGGTGAAATGAAATTATCTACATATAGTGACTTTTGCTTAACATCTTGAATGTGAATCCATGATTGAACATTAATATGGTGTTGGTCTTGGTGAGAGTTGAGAACACAAAGAAAACCAATAATTTTTAGGCTTAACAGTTAACATTCTGAATCTTTACCTATCAAGTGCTCTAGATTTTTTTCTTAATTCACCTCTGCTGTGCTTGTCCATGTGCAGTGTGTTTCTCAGCAGAGCAGGATTCATTCCCATAAATATTTGCCACCAAATCTATCATTTCTATACTTTATCCTAATTTAAAGTAATGGGTTTTACGCTAGTGGACGGGCATTTGAGTGCACTAGACTTAAAAGCACAAATATACAGGTGTTGCCAACCGCATGCATTCAAAAACCACAGGTTAGATCCCAAGGATCAGGAGATTTAAGCTAATCATGAGAATCAATAAACAAAACAGTGATACCCAGACTGTGGCTTTCGAGCTGCAAATGGCTGTTTAATGGTGTCTCCTGTGGCTCTTTGTAGCACATGATATTAAACACTGATTTAATTATTAACCAGTTAGGATGCTTTTACTATGTTATTAACCAGTTAAGTTAATAACTTAGTGCAAGTTGATATATTATCACACAAATAAGTTAACTAAACATTTCCCATCATATACTGTTTAAATATGATTGTTTCATTTTTCTATAGTACCAATGAATTCACACTACTGTGGCTCTTCTGGGTAATGTTGACTGCTAATTTGGCTCCTGAACCACTGAGGTCTGAGTACTATTGATTTAAACCAGACAAATAAAAGCAAAAAACATCAATTACAGTGTTAATGTTGAGATTAATTGTACAACAGGCAAGAGCTCAAATTCTGATAGCAAACAGGTTTGTTTTCCTGTGCTTTATATTGGTATTTTATTGCAATATAAAAACTTAAAATAATGAAACAGAATATACTAAAGGTAACAGTTTTACAGTGTCATATGTCACCTTGGAAAATAACTTACTGCCCTACTGTAACTGGATTAAGGAAAAAATAAAATTTGATTTCAACAGTTGTGCAAGAATAGAGAGCTACATGATGCAATTTTAAAGTTACTGGGTTCAAAAGCAAGAACACTGAAAGAAGCTTGTGATAGCGAACTACTAATATTTTAAAATGTGAACAATATATAAAACATAGTGTATGTATAGAAATAGAATGCATGTCTCAAGGACTAAATGATGAGCTTAACACCATACATGTCAGACCAGATTTAAAATATTCACTGCACTGAAAGACATTATGGCAATCAAAAAAGGTATAGGGAAGAAACTATTACTTAAAAAAAAATATAAAGGCAAGAATTCAAAGTCAGAGTTATATCACTAATTTAGTTAGTGTGGGGGAGAAAAAAAGAAATTACTCAAACAAACCTGTTGTGGTTTTTTGAAGTTTTGGGTGGAAAAAATGATAAAAAAAAAAGCTGATTTTATTTTCTAATGATTATCTCCAGTGAGTCACATCTGATTTCCTTTTACTCTTTTAGGACCTGCTTCTGCTCCCATAGAAAGCCATAGGAATTCTGTCATTAACTTAGACAGGACCAGGATAAGGCCTTTATACTGTTTCCAGGTTGTTTTGTGATGAATTACATGTTCTAAAATTGTGATTGGGGTTTTGGGCATCTTTTGAGAGAGTAATTTTCTTAAAGGCTGTAGTGATACAAGAGATTTGTAGCCTGTTTACTAGAAGTGATACCATTTTCCCTAGGAAAAAAGTGTAAAAACATATGTATGCTATACTATCTTAAAGGCTGAATTTGGCCTTCAACTCTATTTTTGGAAAAACAGGGTTTTACAGATTTAAAAAGAGATATGTTTCAGTGTCCCTCTAAAATTCCAATGGAAACATTTAAAAAAAAATGAAGTCAAATAAACAACGTTTGCATATTTTACAACCCAAAACACAGCATCTTTGTGCCAAGGACACAACATAAATGCAAAATTGACAAACAAAAACTTCATAGTTTAAGGCTGGAAGGGACCAGTGGAGTAGTGCACAACACTGAACCTCAAAGAGCTTCTCTCCATAATTCCTGCATCAAGCCCATGTCTTGTGATAGACCCAGACCATAACTGAAATGGAGTCTGTTTTCATTGCCCAAGCAGAGATGAATTAAAAAGCTAAATAAAGTACTCACCAAGCTGTTTGCAGAGGTGCACTGTTTGACTGCAGGTTACATGCTTTTCCTCCTTCCCTCCTCTTGTCTGACTCACTTGTTTCATCTTGTCTTAAATTGAGCTATAATTCCACCAACTGCTCCAGATAAGCAAGTCCACTGATTCTACAACGATGCAGGGTTCCACCAGGATCAGGGCCCCAGACTTCAAATCTATATTTGTACAGTGTCCAGCACAGTGGGACCCTGACCTTGATTGGTAGCCTTTTGGGTGTTATAATATAAAAGATGAAGTAAATTAATTGAGTTATTTCAATTTTAATCTACTGTAAGGTTTTGTTTTTATACAGGTAAATGGATTTTTGTTTTCAGTTTTGTTTTTCACTTGATGGTGTGTGTCCATTTAGTTTTGGAGGCATGAAAACCTAAGACTAAACAAAGGCAAGTCAGCATCCAACCTCTGCTAACTGCTACCCCATGTTTGATGTTCATGGTACTGTTTCCACTCTTCCAGATACAACAAGGTCAAAGAAAAGTCATGAAAAAGAGGGAGTGGAATACAATTTTGTCTCTAAGCAATCATTTGAGATAGATGTACAGCATAACAAGTAGGTTTGTTTTAACATACAGAAATAGTGTGGCTACATTTTCAACATGTTGCTTGTCAAGATGTATAGTATATATCTATCTAGTTTAGTGTAATAAGGGGATGGGGCAATTTTTCCAGTAAACTTTTGTTTTCAGTTTGAGTAATGATTCACTCAAAGCCTGACTGAAAGGCAAGTCAGGAACAGTAAAGGGTTGGAAAGAGGCGCAGGAGGCAGAATCTAACCCTGCTACCTAATTAGTGGCAGTCCCATTAACTACTTTTACTGCTATTTTCTGGTACATGTATGCTGGCAAGTTTTAATTTACTTATTCATTGTAATCATCTTAGACTCTGAATTTGGGAATGTAAGGGACCTATTGGATTATCCAGTCCATTTCCTGCTAGTGCAAGGTTTTGCTATAGAATTTAAATCCCTCCCCTCCCCCCAAAGCCTGAACATTTCTTTCCTGGCTAGCTTTGTACTGTTCTCTGAGGAAAACATGAGGTTTCCCCCTTCTCTATTTTTAGAATTCAGCTGTAATTACCATGTCAGTTTTCCTTTAGTTCTTTATTTGTCAGCCTCACTGATTATCACTGATGCCCTGGGGAAACTGTTGCTATTAAGCCCCCAGAAGGGTCACAAAACATGCAGAGTCTTGTAGGTGCCCTAAAAGAGTGGAGTTTTTGTTGAAATTGTGATGGTAACAGATTGAGCTCTATGCATTGGTTTGGTTTCTGTTTGCTTTCCCCATCATAAACTAATAGTTTCAAGGTAGGTCAGATTTTGGTCCTAAACTGCTTGGATGTGGTTTTCTGCAATATTTATAACATTTCCACCTCCCTTTGAGAACATCCAAATAAGGATACATAGTCCAAGATAAATTTTTCTTTTAGGACGTTCCATTTGCTCAATATACTCCACAGGGCCCATGCTTATTCAGTGGTACTTTTGTATTTGTTACTGTGATTTTGTGAAAGAGAAAGGGGTTGACTTGTAATTAAGTCAGGGAAGCAGAGTTCTGTTAAGACTTTTGTGACCCTTGGCAAGTCACTGAACTTCCCTTTGCCTCAGCTTTCTCCATGGAGAGAGGGGATGTACATATTAATTCCTTCAAAATCCTAAAACATATTGAGAGCCTCAAACAGAAGGAGACTTCTGATTGCATTGTCTCAGTTTTCTGAACCCCAGACACTAGTTTTGTAAAGGGAGACACCCATAGGTGCTGGAACTAGGGGTGCTACTGCACCCCCTGGCTTGAAGTGATTTCCATCATATACGTGGTTTACAGGTTGGTTCAATGGCTCTCAGCACCCCCACTGTACGAATTGTTACAGCATCCCTGAAGACAACTTGTCAGGACTCCCTGGAATTAACAAATGTAATCTGTTTGGGGGAAAACAACGGTCAAAGTTCTTAAATTTCCTTTTCTTTGTGGCATATATTCATGGAGTATAAATACATTAACTTTTTAGATTTGTTGAACATGGAGAATACAAAGAGAATCTGTATGGAACAAGTCTCGAGGCAATCCAGTCTGTTATGGCCAAAAATAAAGTTTGTTTGGTGGATGTGGTACCCGAAGTAAGTATAGCTGCTTTTATAAAGTCATCTGATTCTGGGAGGGCGTGGCAGCAGCGATCAGAAATAAAATAAGCATGCCGCTGTAGCCAGCCACCTCAGTAAGTTAAAGTGTTTGTAGCACAAAATCAAGGAAAGACATTGTTGCAAGTAACTAGTTTAGCCCCTTCCTCTGTTTGTGACCCAATCTAGATTTTTTAGTCTCATTTTTCGGTAGTCACCAAACACCTTAGTTGAAGAAATTCAGCCTCTGAGCTGTTTTGCAAATTTTTCACTTTGACTTTTCATTATCAAGGACCTTATCCAACTCCTTTTGAAATCCGTTGACTTCAGATAACAGGATCAAGTGCTATTTGCAGCATGTGATTGGCCAGAGTCAGATATTATTCCTGCTCCCTGATTGGATGACAAACTTTTAAAACAGAATAAAAACCTAACAATGAGAATAGCGATTAAAGGATGATAGAAAGTACCCTTGTTTGTAGGCAAATTATGGGTTTCTCTATGAAGAATTGGCATTCCCTAAACATTCATGTGAAGAAAAATGTTGGTGTATAGCCATTCAGAATGTGAAGGAATGTTCAGGGACATGGCTTTGCAATATTCAACCAGCTTTAAACATGGAAAACAATCTGTTTCCCATGAGAAGAAGTAATAGAAGATGGAGTCTTTTCCTGTTGGGGTTACATACGGCCATGAGTAGGACAGAGAAAAAACAGCATAATCTGATTTGCTTTGAAACTTGTTTGATCTGTTATACTGCAAATCAAATTTAACACTAAAAAAGTCAAATATACTGTGTTCAAACAAACATGAACATTGTAAAAAAATTACTAGAGGGAGCAAATAAAAACATTCTCCCAAAGCTTTGTAGATGAAAATGTATCACTCTTTTTTTTAAATCTTTACTAGAGAACTATTAATTCCCTCTGCACAGATTTCAGCTTTCTGCATTGCATTATTAATTTACAAGCCATACACAAGTATGGAAAACACAATATGGCTTTATGGTATCTTATGTTTTACACCCTGTTCAATCTCTCAACTTTTTAAACTAAAGCAAACCACTGTTTATGCTTAGTGTTCTCATACTGAATGCCAGCCCAAGAATTGTGTCTGGTGGGAGGGAGGAGGTAAAGGTGGGGCATGTGTGTAGTCACCAAAAACCAACAACCAAAAACAACCCACATATTTGGGCTGCTTTCAGGTTAGCTAAGCATAGGAAAAATCGAAAACATTTTCCTTCAGGTAAGAACAATTGTAAAGTCTTGCTTTGAACACTTGGGTTATTCCAACATGGCTTTGTTTTCAAACCTTAGACTTGGCTTGGCCTGTGTGAAGCTCTTGTTTCAAACAGTCCTACATTAATGTGCACTAGAAAACTTTTAGTGTGCATGAACAGTGTCCACGGGCCAGTTAGTGGGCAACACGCTGGCATAGATTAGAATTTACGCCCCAGCTAATGTGGATTAAGGCACCATGTAGACAGGCTCTAAATTTGAGGCTTTCCCTTTCCAATATACCTGCTAAGGACATAATCAGGTACCAGACTCCTCTTTTCTTAGTTTAAAATAAATAAATTAAATAAAAATTTGCACCCATTTGTCTCTGAGATCCTATGCACATTAATTAGATGCTACCTTGCACCTTATCCATATCTGAGAGGATATTGCTGTTGTTCTGGTTTTCAGAACTTGAAGGATTCCTCACCTAAGATTTTTGGAGACTAAGAATTGCCTAGTGGCAAAAGCACAAGAATAGGATTTGAATTATCTGGGTTATATTCCTGGCTGTGCACTAACTTCCAGTGTACCCTTAGGCAAATCATTAGTGCTCTTAATCATCTCTCTCATGTGGGTGGTATAAGGAGGATTTTTATTACCCTTATTTCAAAGATGGAGAAACTGAGGCTTAGTCTACACTGGGGGGGAGGGGGGAGGGAAAACAAAACAAAAAACCCCACAATCTAAGTTATGCAACTTCAGCTACGTGAATAACGTAGCTGAAGTCGATGTACTTAGACCTACTCACCGCGGTGTCTTCACTACGGTGAGTTAACTGCTGCCGCTCCCCCATCGACTGCCTGTGCCTCTCGTGGCGCTGGAGTACAGGAGTCGATGGGAGAGCACTCGGGGGTTGATTTATCGCATCTAAGACTAGATGCAATAAATTGACCCCTGCTGGATCAATCACTGATCCAGTGGGTAGTGTAGACATACCCTGAGACACTACCTCATTAATGTTTGTAAAGGGCTTTGGGATCTTCAGCTGGAAGGCCGTGTATTAGGACATTATTACAATAAAACTCTCATCTCACCAGTGCCATGGAAGCACCAATTTCCTGTTACATAGTATAGCTGCTGCAGCATCAGGTGCCAGCAGGCTAACCTCACATTTCTCCGATTTAATTAATCCACAAGGATTCTGATATCAGGGGTCTGAGATAGCAGATGGCTGGAACAGACATTTTTTGTCATTATATGTATCTAGTTCATGCACTCTCTAAAGACCACATACCTTTCTGTAGGTTGAGCTATGCTCAAACACCAGCCTCCTCAATTTTACAACTTGTCCCTGTGTGATGGCTTATAAAAAAAAAATGTTTAAAGTTAATAGAAAAACAAACTCATCCTGATGACAGCTGTAAGAGTGTATCCTGGGATGATTATACTGTGGAGGTCACAGAAAGGTGTAAATGAAGAATTATGCGGTGTCTTTTCCTCATATTTTGTCCTCTTTATGGAAAGAGGTTTCTGCTGGATTGTTCCTAAGCAAAGTAAATATCTTTGCCTTCTCCTAGGATGAATAATGCTATTTACAGTCCCTGGTTAATTGCTCTACAGAAAGCAATGATGCTTGCCTGTCTTGTGACTCTAGCAGCTGGTCCGAGTGCTGGCTCAGCAGAACTGGACTGTTCACAGTGCTGAACCTTGATGAACAAAAAGCAAAGTGTGCCCTAAAAGCCCCAGTGTATTACATAGTTATTGTTTAAGGAGCTTGCCCTTGCAGTATGAGAGATGCAAGCACCTCCTCCTTTCCTGCGTAAGCCCACGTGGAACTTTTCCCACCATAAACAGGCTCTGCATTCTCAGTCCTTCTGGCCACACAAAAAAAAGTGAGATTCTAGCTGTACCTGTCACTGGGTACTGACTCCTCTCTTATGCTAGTGGCTGGCCCAGGCCATGTGTCTGGGATTAGGAAATAACTTTAAATACTCTTGTCAAAGCAAGCAGAGTTCAATTTCTTGGGTTTTGTCCCCTTGTTATGAATGGAAAGGAAGGATAATTTGGGCTAATAGGCAAGTTATACCCTTTTCTCTTGTATCACCTTCCCCTTTCTGTAGATTTAATGCACAGCAAGATGTGTGCAATGACACTGACATTATGTTAGTCTCCTTTTTTGAAGAATTACAGATATAATGCTCAGACTTACAGTATTTTACACAGGGTTTAAATGAGACATTTACAGTTGAAATTACTAAGAACAGTTGGAACAGATAATTGAAGTTCCATACATTAATTTATCATCTAAAAGTTTTCCTTAACATACATAAAAAGCTCATGTATATTTTTACTCACAGGCAGTAAAGCACCTGAGAACACCAGAGTTTAAACCATATGTTATATTTGTGAAGCCTCTTGTTCCAGAAAAGAAAAAAAATGCACCAACATCTCCAACTTCAGAAGAAGTCTCAGCCCCACTTGTAAGTATTTTAACTTCAGTTCTTAAGATACTGAAGAAACTATTTGGATTTTTTTCCCCCCCCATAAGAGAAACCTGTCCCTCCAGCTGAGTGAGATAACATAACTGGCTCTAGTCTTATGATGGCAAATCAGGTTGAGAGTTTTAAGTAGCTACATTAATGTGGCAATTACCTGGGAACTTTTTGCCTTCCTCTGTTATGTCTCCTTGCTGATGGGTCAGTATGGACAGCAAAGCATCCGCCTACAGGACATGCCTGAGATGCTCTGCGAGATAATGATATCCAACAAAACTCTGATTTGAGATTCAGATTTTATAAGCTGCTACACAGTTTTCAGAGCCCCCATGCTAAGGCGAATACAACTACCATTCCTTCAGCTGCCATACCTTCATCCCATATATTAATTGACCTAATTTTCCTGAAGCGTGTTGTGCCTTTTAATATTACAAGTGTATTCATGCTGCATTACTTTTCCTCAAGCACACGTAAAACAATAAACACAGTTGCTGACAGTTGTTTCACTGAGTATTAGAGATATGAAATAAGCTACCAAGGGAGGCGGTTGTAGGAGAAAGCTGAATGTTTCTTGAATTCATTTAGGATTTGTTTCTGCAGTATGAAAAAAGGGCAGGCAGATAATCCAAGAAGAGTAGGCAAATTATTCAAGGTGATCTCATGTTTCTTGCACTTTTTTTTCTAGAGAAGGTTTGGGATAGTATGGGAGGCATAAAACATACAAGTTGCAAAGACAACTTGTATCTGGGCGAGGTGGAAATCTGAGGGAGAGTCACTAGCAATCCTGACTGTGTTTTGGTCCAGAGGTGTAGTTTCTTCTTAGGAAGACTGTACTTTGTGTTTGGCTCTTACCATGCAAATCCTCTTGGGGGGAGGGGAGTTGAGAAACAGGCTTGTTTTCAATTTAAAAACATCCACCATGACTTGAACAGAGTTAGAACTTCAGAGGGAGATTCTGCCCCCTAAAATCTAACCATGTCAGGAATGTAGGAGGAGGAATAAATCTACTCTTTGTAGTCGTACAAAATAATTCAGGGTCACACCAGTGGAAACGACTAGTTTAGTCAGATTAGTTAATAACCTTGTTATTCTGCCACAGAGCAGCCTCCCTGAGAGCCCAGAAGGCCACTTTTGCCTCGTAACTGCAGAGTGAAGCCCAAGCTGATTAGGTGGTCCTTACATAACAAGCAGTTTAATCTTGCAAGGAAGAGGAAACTAAGCTGGTTGGTATTTTCTTTAGAGAAGTACCAACTCATTATTGTTCATTTATTTTGGTAATAAAGTGTGTGAGTTCACATGCACACTGCCTGTGGGATCCTGCAACGTTTCCAGTGAAGCGCTCAGTGTTGTTGAACTTGGGCACATCTGTTCCACTGTCATTGTTTTACTTTTGAAGGGAGTATGGTTGGCACCTGAGTTTGACTAGGCGCACTTTTGTTACTTTGAGTGCAATGCCATTTTACTTTTGAAACCATTTCAAAATCCCTCATTCACTCCTTCCATCCCTGAGGCCATATCATTCCTAGCACTAGTACCTTGCTCATCAAACTGGATAGCAAGAATTCATTTTATCTTTTCACATTGGCAATAGGTTTTTTTATTTTATTTCCTTTCAAAGTAATTGATAGGAGATTGGGGAGGATACAAGGAGACTAAAAAAGTCATTAGAAGGCTAGAATGACTATTGCAAGTTTAATATCTTCTCACATATTGGCCTGCAGGATGAAGAACAGCAGGACATTATTAATTCAGCAGCATTTATTGAAGAGCAGTATGGCCATTTAATTGACACTGTGCTGCTGAAAGAAGACCTCCAGAGTGCCTATAATCAGTTGAAAACTCTGCTAGAGAAGCTGAAGGAGGACTCATTTTGGGTGCCAGTGAGTTGGGTTAGATCATAGCCTGCTCTCACATGTCAAAAGGAAAGCCTATATAAAATGTGTTGTAAATATAAGGATTAAAAGAGGGAACATGTCAGCTGCACTCCAAAACCGCCAGCTTGTCTAGAAAATAATATGAAAATGTCGTATCAGTTAAACTAGACAGACCCATCAGTCAGAAGCTGACATGGGATTCCTGAACCACAGTTTTTAGTAGTGTCATTTAAAATGTTGAGTGCTCACTGTAGATTGATGGGTAAACATTTAGTGATTTTTAAGCTTTGTAAATACGTTGTGATGTAGAGTGAAACTTCACCTACTGTCTAAGGTTCCATCCTGCCAGTGGCTATGGAAACAAGTAGCTTAACTCAGACAAATGGTCCCAGAGAGTGTAAGGGACAAAGCAGGCCTTGAAGATTAAATCTACATGGCTGCGAGACTTTTTTCCAAATACTTCAGGAAGTTTGGATATACAGAATTTTGTAGTGTATAGATGAAAATGCAGATGTATTAGGATTTTGGAAATCAATGACAGTTCATAATTTGCTAAATCTGCTATTGATAAATAGTACATTATGTACCTAGGAATTCCTGCTTTCCATTTGCCTGCCACTTATGATCTTTCCTATATATCAAATCCTTTAGCAATGGCTCCAAATGTAAGCCCATACTTATTTTTGTCTTAAAAATATGAAGTTATTGTTAAGCAAAATCACTAGGACTTCCCACAGAAAATATTGTAACAGCATTTCATATAAAGTCACAGCTTTTCTGTAATGGAATCCACTCACCATTATGTGCTCCTCATGCCAGGCATAGTGTTGCAGCTCTCAAACCAGGATAGCATCTCCCTCACTGGGTGAGGAGACCATTTCTCTGTCAGGTAACTTGGCCCTCTGGCTGGGTCACAATCTTTTAGTCCACCCCTCCTGGGTCATAGTTGTCTAAACTAGGCTTCAAAACTGTTTTTAATAGAATCAAACTTTCCACCCTCTCTGGTGCTTTTCTTCAACCAGTTTCTTCCCCAGTTACTCAGGTCCCTCCCAGGCCACTCTCTGCCTAGAGAGCTTTCCTCACTCAGGGCTCTGCAGGAACCATCTTGCTCCCTACAATCTCTTTCCCCAGTTGGATCCTTTTAGGGATCAAACCTGGGTCCTTTTATACAGGAATCACCTCATTCCTCTCAGGTGAAGCCCATTCTGTACTCAGGGCTGGATCAGCCCCTGGCTCTCCAGCCCACACAGCAAGCCACCCTGTTACATTCCCTCTCCAAAAAACAATAAGTAAAATGTTTCTCTTGTCTAGATTCAAAACAGTATTCAATCACATTATTCATTCAGGGTCTAATTGGCCCTAATCTACTCAAATCACCAGTGGCTCTGTGTGGTTACTAGACCCCACCCTATTCATGTGATCTTGCCATTATGTAAAGAGACCATGCATCCCAGTTTTTTTTAATGAAGTCCTTGGAACTTCTTATGGGACACATGAAATGTTCGAGCTTTTCATTTCATCTATCAAAATGTTCAGGTTTTTAATAACTACAAAATGTTTGTCCAAGATCAGTTCCACTCTTAGTGTTTTGCACACTGTTTCATTCGGATCAAGAAGTGAGCATGTGCTTTGTGACAATCATTGGGCAGGGTCAGTGCTTGTCTTATGACCACATTGCAATACAAGTCTAAGACTGACCAGTCTGGTCAGTGCAAAACCCCTGCTCTGGCCCCAGGAGGAAGTGCCGGTGGTTCTTCTGCTCCCTCCTTGCTATTGTCATTGGAAGGAAGTGGTGGCACTCGGCTCTTCTGTGATTTTCTGACCCAGGCAGCATAGAGCTACGAAAAGCGAGTCAATGCCAAGAAATTCAGTTTTTTCCTGACCTTAAGAAGGTTACCACAAAAAACATTTGGGTTTTGATTTTGAAAATATGGTCAACTTACCCATATGGTAAAGGGGAGAGCACTGTGATCAAATAAGTCTTGGCATAGGAGTTGATTAAGTGAGCAATTACTACAAGCGTATGTTATTGCAAGTATCAAGTCTCTCACATAAGTCGACAACCTATGGTAAAACAAATGAACCCCGGTAACATTATAGAGACTTCAATGAATTATAGAGTGGAGGAGAATTTCTAATGTGTGACTCTGAGGAGATGGGTCATTATTATATTTGAAAAGAGTCATATCACCTGGATGGAGCCAGATATGCCTTATATGACCAAAAGCAGGGCTTTCCACCATCCCTGCATGTTAAAGGTTCAGTCCATTCAGTGGAGCCCAGGCCTGAATTTGATATATTAACATTTTACTGGGTCTTTATACCAGCTCACTAAATGCATAAACATCTTTTGCATCTTGTTTCTGTTGTAAAGTAGGTTTGAACCCAGCAGAAACTATGTGTCATGAAGAAATCCTGCTGTTTTCCATATTATTGATTTAGTACAGTATGTTTTATAGGCAAAAGTAAAATGACCTGGCCAAAGGAGCTTATAGTCTGGAGGTAGACCAAAAACACAAACTCCCAACAGAAATGTAGAACTATAATGTCTGAGACAAGTAAAGAAACAGAAATGAAAGTCCCCCCCGGACCCACTGTGCATACCACACAAAGAATGTTGTTAGACATAACTTGAGAATTATTGGTTTCAGAGTAGCAGCCGTGTTAGTCTGTATCCGCTAAAAGAACAGGAGTACTTGTGGCACCTTAGAGACTAACAAATTTATTTGAGCATAAGCTTTCGTGGGCTACATCCCACTTCTTCGGATGCATCCCACGAAAGTTTATGCTCAAATAAATTTGTTAGTCTCTAAGATGCCACAAGTACTCCTGTTCTTTTTGAGAATTATTGTTGCTCAAATCCATTTCCTATCACTACAGCTACTGAAACTCACAACTACATTTATATCAGACCCATCTCGGTTCATGTACTTTACCACTCCCTTTCGCTTCCAATAGTCAGTGACCCAGATTGCACACACCCAGTTCCTGAAAATGTTAAAAAGTCTCTAAAAAGACACTACCCAGCATTAGCAACAATCATCTTCTTACTGATAATTTTACTTAGTAATAAAACTGAAGTTATGGTTGTGTATGATTTGGAGGCAGGGAGGCAGGCTTGGCTTTCTACATAGATGTGCCCCCATCCTATGTTCTCCTGCCCCACCCTCCACCGCTGAATGGAAAAAAATATCATTTTTACATCTATAGGGAGTGTATTACGCTTATAATAGCTATATAAATACTTTGCAGAGGCAAGGGGACCTGGGACTGGATGAGCATGGAAGGGTAGCTGGGGCCTTTGTGGATATGCAGAAAATTCAGGCAAGGATCTGGGTGGGAGCCCTAGCACCTGAGCCAGGGCTCAGAAGTGAGGTTGTCAGGTCCAGCTGACAAATCTCTCCCCTAGTGGACATAGTCTCCACGGCCAAAGCAAGTTTTGTTTGAAGTTTGCTCCTCTCACTGTCCTCCTTACCTCGTTAGCTTCAACAGAGGGAGGGATAATGGAAGTCTTACAACAAAAATGTAGATTGTGGGTTGAATTTTCAAAAGTGACAATGGGGTACAAGTCCCCTTGAAAATCAGTGGGAGTTGTGTGCCTAAATCACTTAGGCCAGAGCTATGCTAGAAAAGGTTTGCTGGTATAGCTAGAATGGCAAACTCTAGTTGTATAGACACAGCTTATACTAGGGAAAAGGTGCTTCCTCCTCCCCCCAACCCCATGCCAGTGTAACTGCATTTACATTAGGTTCTTGGCAATACAGACGTTGCCAAAAGTGGCAGTTCTAACTGACATTATACTGGCAAAAGTGTCTAGTGGAGACCTGGCCTTAGGTGTAGAGGAAAACTCCACCTTGTACCCTCTTTGAGGAAGACACTTTCTCAGGCTGCTGTACTGCAGTGGCCTGCCAGCGAGAAGCTCTGGACTGCCAGATGGGGTTCCTCTCTGAAAAGCCACAGGTGGTTTGCCAGAGAGAAACAGCTACTCCTCCATGCCAGAACCACAACGCCTGAGTGTCCAGCTGCTTTACCTGCAAGTCTGTCCACACTCTGCCTCGCCCACCACATCCCAGAGGGGGCAGCTCGCGGGTAGTGCTGCTGGATAAGCGTAGCTGGTAGCTGAGGCACCATCTCTATTTTATAATCGCTGAGCATAACTCTTTGAAAGCAATTTTAAACTAAAGAGCAAAATTTCACACTAAGTGACTTTGTGAGAATATCAGATGGAAAGATGGTGCCTTTGTGTAAAATAATCAATGCCTCTGTAGATTTATTGCAGATTACTAACAGCTTTAATAAATCCAGCTAGACATGATAAATATATATACTGTGTATCACCATGAACAAGGATGTAGGTTAGATGAAACAGCATTCTCTGTGCTGTAAAATAATATCATCAGAAATCTACTCAATGCAGGAATTACTATCAAACCACTTACAAAATGATAGCAGTGAAAGTACAACATAGTTTCAGTTTGCTTCATTGTCCAGTAGATCCCAATAGAGGAAATAGTTGCTAAAAGAACCAAGACAAATGGAAATGTGCAGATTTTGTAAAATATTTAAAATTACAATAACTGAAAACGTCTCATGTCTAAATTGGTATCGAACACTGAGCTAAAATGTCTTTTGCAGTCTGGTTCATGTAATAAATGATCTTTGCCTCCATTTTTATCCTGTGCAGGCATCAAACCTGTAGTTAAACACAATTGCCTTTTTATTAATTTGGGAGAATTGTGGTGTGAGTTTTTTAGGTGCAGTTTTGCTTGTAAATTCAAAATAAATTATGGCAAAAGTAGACGTATGTGGTGAAGATTTGGGGGCTGGAGTGGAGAGTTGCACTTTTATAGGAAAACTGCATTCATTCAATGCTCCATTTTATTTTACAATCCTAAGAAAACATCAGCCAGTTGTAATATGTATCCTTAACAGGCCATCAGACTTTCAAGATGTGCTAAGTCTCTGCTGTATTATCCATGCCTGGTGTATTCTCCTGCAATTAGGAAAGAAAAGGGAGGGAGGGGAATTGAAAAAAATCAGTTCATAATGGAATTACAACTCAAAGTCTTGACTCCATGAGGAGTTATGCCTGAGGCTCCAATTCAGCAAAGTACATTAGCACATTGACTTCAGCAAAACCTAAAGACGTTTAAATATTTTGCTGAATCAGGGCCCAAGTGTGAGGTCTACAGATTGGGCATCCTGGGACATTCACAAATAATTTCTTTATCCTTTTAATATCTCAGACTTTACAAACCTTTTAGGACATTTATTTAATCTTTTTGCCAATTTTGTCCTTTGGCAAACAGCAATTTCATCCTTTTTGCATTTTGAGTGGATATGAAATGAAATTTTGCCTCATCTTGCCAAGCCCCCTTGTTTACTCACCAGCCCCATGTTGTCAATCATCATATAAAGGCCAAATTCTGCCCCTAATAAACCAACTATTCAGCAACTAACCTAATTTAAAATTTCATTTACTATTTAGAGCTCAAGCATTTCTGCCACAGCCAGGGCCTGTGGAGAGGGGGTGTGGGGAACTGAATGATGATAGGCAGGGCTCCAACTGAATGGGTACAGAGGGGAATTGGGAGGTGTTTGTACTGGCACCAGCTGAAGGGGCTTGCGGGGCAAAGATCTCAGCTGCCTGGAATAGGAGCAAATGGAAGAAGGTGGCAATGTCCAGGCTTCAGACACGTTGCTGGAACAAATTCCAGCTGGAGGAGCACGCAGTGCTGATTTGCAGGCCCTGTAGGAGCAGCAGGTAAGTTGAGAGAGGAAAGGATTGTGAATCACCCCCCACCCCAAAACACACACACATACCCTATCTCTTTCCCCATACATACAGACATCAGTTATTTCAGCAGATGCCATGTTTAAATGCAAGCTACCAGGTCACTCAGCAGTCCTGCATTTCATGGGTGGGCAGGCACCTGGCAGGATTTGGACCAGTCTCTCCTAGGTATTATGCACATGCACTGACTGCAGGAGGGGTAAAATACACACACAAATCAGGCCACTTCACTAACAACACATTGTGACAGCCACATACAGTTTTAGAAAATGAATAAAGCCAAGGCACAACTGTATACCTAGCTATCCCGAGAAGCAATGAGATACCGCGTGGTATTCCGGATATAGTGCCGTGAATTCTGCCAACGAGAAGGGAAGAGTATAGATTTGTCAGTGACACTGATTATCTATTAAAGTGACTATTAGGATTGTAATTAAAACATGTACACTGTCTGATCATGATGCTTTTTTCCCCCTTACACTTCTGCATCCTGTTCCTTCAGTACTTACGTTTCTGCAGTGCAGTGATGAGTCATTAATGGGCTTAGTCTCTTGCGGATCGCTCATCCATGTTTTCTGTTTTATTAGTAGTTAGTGTAAATGCCTGAGGCCAAAAGTAGACCCTGATTTTGGATTCTTCTGATTTGGACATCTCAGCATGAGGTGTCTTGGGTCTGATTTTCACATGTGCTGTCTCCCATAATTCTAGTTAAAGCCGTGGGGAGCTGAAGGTGCTCGAGTTGGCCATCGAATAGCCGAAGCCACTTTTGAAAATGTAACATTTTTAATCCTGATTGCAATCAAGCTATTAAAATATGTATTTCTGAGCTACCAAAAATGTGCCCCACCTCTCACAAAACAAGGAAAGACGTAGACCCTGCCACAGAAAGCCCACATTCTAAATCATGTGTTTTACTTCCTTCCTGCCTAAAACCTTGATACAGAATTCTATTAGTCTTTTGAATTTCCTAGCGCTGAAGTACCAGGACACTAAGGGTATCTGGAAACCCAGGTCTTGCTTAACCCTTTTGACAGGAATGCAGCATACAGGAGGGTGTAATGGGCCTCTGAATCATCTTCAGTAACGGAGGTATCCAAAATGGGTTCAGCAACTTCATTTTAAAATGAGAGACAGAGACATGGCAATTACTGTGTAAACTCAACAGCCCTCCTTCAACAATGAGCTGCAGCTGTTCCATAGCTTTGTTTCCTTCTTTGTAGGGAGCTTTGTGGCATTGTGATTTTTATTGCATGCATAAGCAGTGACTTAAGGGAGACATTTAATTCTGTGACAGAGAAATTGGGGTTGGCAACTTTTCACAATTATGAGAGAGGACTATGCTTTCAAAGCAGTGTGTGGGAGAAAATGCATATACAACCCCAATTCACTAATAACAGGGTTTATACACTCTTCTCCCACACTCTGCTTAAGAATTTACCCCAGATTCTGAAATTCTTCCAATGCTGAAAACAATTAATTAACTGAAAGTCAGTAGTTGCTTTGACTATAAAATGTAAAGTCTTAGTTCCACTCTGGAGAGTTTTCAGAGTAGCAGGAATTGATATGCAAACTAGATACAATCAACTCAGGATTGAATAAGGACTGGGAATGGCGGAGCCATTACAAACATTGAATCTATCTCCCCTTGTAAGTATTCTCACACTTCTTATCAAACTGTCTGTACTGGGCTAGCTTGATTATCACTTCAAAAAATTTTTTTCTCTTATTAATTGGCCTTTCAGAATGGGTAAGACAACTCCCACCTGTTCATGCTCTCTGTATGTGTGTATATATATCTCCTCAATATATGTTCCACTCTATATGCATCCGAAGAAGTGGGCAGTAGCCCACGAAAGCTTATGCTCTAATAAATTTGTTAGTCTCTAAGGTGCCACAAGTACTCCTGTTCTTTTTACTTTGGAGAGTGGCACATAGATTATGTCACAAAGAAGGGAATAATGCCTATAACCTGCTGTCTGGGCTGAGACGCTCACTCAGGTAAATCATGTTTCAGGTGTTGCTAAGACTGCAACATGAGGCGGCTCTTCTTCCTCTTACGATATGATGCAGGAAGCAGATGGAGTCCTTGCAGAAATTCTTGCAGAATGGAGGAGCTATGAGGAGAGAACTAGCATAGATACAGGCACCTGATTTTTTTATAACTTTCTTTTCATTATCTCCATCCCATTGCAAACTGAATGAAACATCCTAATAAATGGAACTAGTTGGGGGGAAAGTCAGTAATTTACAGCCTGCAGATGTGAACACAACATGAGCCTCTAACAGACTGAGGGTGACCATAAAATTAGAGAAATGTAACAACATGTTTCCAGTTCAGACTCCAGTGACTTCACAAAGTTTCAGTGAGAAATCAGTCGCTGCTGTCAGTCAAATTAGGGACCCTGGCCAGAAATTAAGGCTCAGACTCTTTTTTAATGGTTTTGTCACTTATTGCAGTTTGTAGCAAACCAGAAAAAGCCAGAGCCTAAAATCTTGTTCAGCCACAAATGGATTTTATATCTGAAATCATGCATGTGACTACAGGGTGATGCTCATATTTAAGTTATAAATGCAGCACAACAGGTATAGTTTTCTTTTCTTTGTACTAAAAGGTCATATTAATTGAGACTGTCAGAATAAAAGGTCAACGAAGCTCACACCCCAATGAGAGAACCCTTATTACGCTGAGACGCCATCCCTTAAGGGAGCCAGCCCTTCAGCCTGATAAACAGGGAGATGTTTTTCATTTAATAAATACTTGACAAGGAATTAATCTAATTCTAGTGAATTCTTCCCTTTCCCATTACCCAAGTCTTGCTGATTACCACAATGGGTAGCTTTAGGGAGCAATTATATCTAGTCCAATATATGATTAACTAAGTAGCATTTGATTTAACAAGATCCCCTCCATATTACTGTGCAATGGTACTGGGCTTGCTTATACCTAGATACATATATACAGATACACCTATACAACAACGTAAAAGAAGCAGTGAGAGGCAAAAGGGCATCCTTTAAAAAGTGGAAGTTAAATCCTAGTGAGGAAAATAGAAAGGAGCATAAACACTGGCAAATGACATGTAAAAATATAATGAGGAAGGCCAAAAAAGAATTTGAGGAACAGTTAGCCAAAGACTCAAAAAGTAATAGCAACATTTTTTGTAAGTACATCAGAAGCAGGAAGCCTGCTAAACAACCAGTGGGGCCACTGGACGATCGAGGTGCTAAAGGAGTACTCAAGGATGATAAGGCCATTGTGGAGAAACTAAATGAATTCTTTGTTGAGAAAGAAACAACATGGTTTTAGTAAAGGGAAATCATGCCTTACCAATATTCTAGAATTCTTTGAGGGGGTCAACAAGCATGTGGACCAAGAGGATCCAGTGTTCTTAGATTTTCAGAAAGCCTTTGACAAGGTCCCTCACCAAAGGCTCTTACGCAAAGTAAGCTGCCACGGGATAAGAGGGAAGGTGCTCTCATGGATTGGTAACTGGTTAAAAGATAGGCAACAAAGTGTAGGTATAAATGGTCAGTTTTCAGAATGGAGAGAGGTAAATAGTAGTGTCCCCCAGGGGTTTGGTCTGGGACCAGTCCTATTCAACATATTCATAAATGATCTGGAAAAAGGGGTAAACGGGTGGCAAAATTTGCAGATGATACAAAATTACTAAAGATAGTTAAG